TGAATGGATGACGAAGATGAACGCCGACGCAATCGCGCTGCAAGAAACGAACGTCGAATCTTTTGACATGATGTATGAAAAGAAGAATTATGAAATCTACGTAAACAAGGCCAACAATAGGGGCAGCGGTCAACTTTTAATCCTGAAACGAATCATCTTATGCGCAAACTTCGCTATCTTAAAACCGGGAAAAATCTGTGCCATTGAGACGATCTACAACGGGAACTTCCTTTTACTCATCAACGTACATCTTTCGCACACGTTTGACGACATAAAAACCGACCTTACGCTGATTGAACGTTATATCTTAGACTACCCAAGCAACACCAGGAAAGTGATCCTCGGAGATTTTAACATCAACTACAGGCCCGGAAAAACAGAAGCGACGACCAAACTACACGCGATGAGAGAGTTCATGAGGAAACACTCGTTAATCGATGTCTATCATTTACTGCACCCCAACGAATACGGACCCACACACGTTACTTTGAAAAACAATGCACAAGTTCACACTCGAATCGACTATACTTTATGCACTACAAATTTTATCGGAGAATTCGAGGATTGCGACGTTCGACCATACCCACCATCCGACCACGATGCTATCGTCTCTACCTTGCGCGAAGCCGCCCACGAATATAGGAACCCCGCATTTATCGATAGGCGAATCTTCTCCTTACACATTTTCGACACGATTTTTAATTTCGAACATAACCTTTTTAATTCGAATTTTTCTGACCTTGGAGATTATGCTAAACTACATAGCCTGAAAACTCTAATCCGAGACATCGCGAAGACATGTCAACGCTACCGGACACCATGCATTCCACGGCGAAGACCTGCCATTACATCGATATACAACGAAAACGGAATCCTATTGCACGGAACCCAAAACATCATGAACTACGTTTACACCTTCTACCGCAACAAATGCATGCAAATCTTGAGTCCTCGCACCCAAGACATCATTGACTTCATCGAGAAAATACCACCTAAAGACGTCGGCTTCGATGCAAGCGATGAAAACTTTATCTCGAGGGAAGACATTGTCACAGCTATCAAAGACATTCCAAACGGGAAAATGGCGGGCGATGATGAGGTCCCCGGAGAATTCTACAAAAAATACTCGGACACGATCACGGAACCCCTATACAAAGTCTTTACTCGTGCCCAGGAAGAAAACGCCCTCCCATTCTACTTGCGTCAAGGCAGAATGATTCTTCTCCCGAAAATACCACGACCAACAACAATCCGCGACTGGCGCCCAATCACGTCCATGAACGCGGACTACAAGATCCTTTCGAAGGCCTTACTCAACAAAATCAAGCCCCACGCCTCTAAGTTAATTCCGGTTGAACAGAAATACGCAGTCCCAGGGAGGTCGATCTACGATATCATCCCCGACATCGAAAAACGAATATTTAACGCCAACCTTCTGGATACGCCTCTCGCTCTCGTCGCGCTCGACTTAGAAAAAGCTTTCGACTCCGTAGACCGTCATTATATTCTAGCGATTTTAAAAAGAATGAGACTCCCCGACGTTTTTATACGATGGATACAAATAATATTTCGAGACAACGAGATAAGAATTGAAATAAATAACGAAACCTCGCCGTTCTTGAAGGTCTCTACGGGAGTCAGGCAGGGCTGCAGACTTTCTGCGCTTCTCTTCTCTATCGCGACAACGGCACTTATTTACGACCTCAAGGAATCTTTACACCCTTCGACGACAATCTACGCTTATGCCGACGACTTTATATTTCTTATAAAAGAAGACCGCGACTTTACGACAATTCGCGAATGCTTCGCGCGTTTTGAAAGCGTTTCCAAAATAAAAGTCAACTATGGAAAGAGTACGGGACTGTGGTGCGGGAGCTGGAAAGGGAGGACAGACGCACCTAGCGACATCAAGATGAGGAATGACTGTATCAACCTGCTTGGACTGACCCTGGAGAACAGCAGAACACCTTTTAAACTTCAAACTGACGAGCTTCGATCGAACTTTCAACAATGTCTCTCCATCGCGAAGCAAAAAATACTACCCTTGCCTTTAACATCAAAAGTCCGTTACCTAAACGAATATTTTATTCCTAAATTTACATACATCATCAACTCCGTTCTACCTCACGATCTAATACTCAACGAACTACAATCAGAAATGGACGACGCCCTCTACCTATCCAAGACATGGACGAATTACACAATCAATTGCCTGCCCGTCCCTAATGGAGGCCTTGGACTGCTACACCTACCTACGCAACGCGACTTATTTACCATCAAGAGGATACAGAAACACGTGAACGGATATACGAACGAAAATGGCTTTCTATTCGAAAATAAAAACACGACTAATTACCAGAATTTATTTAATTACGACCTATACCACATATCGTCGCCGCGAAACAAAGAAATCTTTCAAAGCTTAAAGAAAATTGTGCCTTCGTTCGAAATCGACTTTACAAAATTGTCACGTAAAGACTTCCTCCACCTCGTCCTTCTCAAATGTCGCTTTCTACAAGATCTTAGAATGCAGAATCCCGCCGTTTTTAGTGTTCGGAATCTTAAAAGTTTTAAAGACCTCGTTAATGACGACGGCTCTTTTCGCCCTATTGACTGCCTTTTTTCACACGCCACGAGAAACGTTATTATGGACTTCGCGAATCTTACGACCCTGTACGACAAACTCAAGGAGACGAAATTTTTAACCCGCGACAACAATTCCTGCGTTTACCTTCCCATCGTAGCAAGGGCAACAAAACGACCCTTCTCAGGGGTAAAGAGCGCGTATTTGAGAACCTTGATAACGAACACCTATCTTGATGCCAATGGCGCAAATACTAAGGCAGAAAGGTGGCTGCTCGAGTATACACCATCCTGGCACCGCGAAACCAATATCCGCGACGATATCGCATGGCGACTCGTGATTCGTGCCCTCCCCTACCCTCGACGCTTTGGAAAGACTGCCTGTCCAACATGCCACGGACCGCCAGACGTTGAACACCGATATTTAACCTGCGACTCCATTCAGCCTATTCTGAACGACGCCATCTCCAAATGCCGCGATATACACAACGACTTCGTCTTTGACCGCGGGAAATACATAATGAACCGAGAGCCCTAAACCGTCAGGAACATCCTCAACGCCGCCAAACATGACATCTATAAATACTACCTAAATTTTGATTTTCCTTAACTATTGCTATCCCCTCCCCCACTAACACGTCCTCCTGTAATCTCTATTTTTAAATAAAGAACCGTTTTTGTTGTTTTATATATATATATATATATATGATAATTTAAACCAATAACCCTATATTATATAATACTTATAACAAGATTGTCATGTTGTATATAGAAACACATCTATATATAATTATACGCATAATTGACATGTGTCCTTGCATCACCATATGTAATGTACTTTGTACAAACTGAGGATGAATAAATAAAACTATGTAATAGATTAAAAGCTGAGTTAAAAGCAAGATTGAGAAGTAAATCACAAAGTAACTTCTAAAAATAGATTGGAAGCCGACAGGTAGGCGCCTGTGTCCAGTGTCCAGCGACACGTGCTGTTATGCAATTCTCTTTGTCGGAGGAGTTATATAAAAAGGCCCGGCTTAGCAACAGGGAGTCAGTTAGTCTTCACCATCAGCGCGTCGCCGGTTGTCTCCAAGGACCAACTCATCGACCATGTAAAATAGTAAGAAATCTACTCTATCTCCATCTTGCTCTTGGCACGACTTTTTTATCTATTCATGGAACTTTCCTTCTACAACTGTGTCGCTTCGTTTTGTGTGTGTGGACATTCCCAAGCTTTCCACTCTGCCTCGACCACGACTGCCTGTACTCTGTGAGAACTGTTAAAGGTCCTACAAGGTGCAGAGAGGTACTGGAAAACTCTCCACGCCCTGACTGCCCCTCTCGGTTACTACAGGTTTGACCCTCGGTTACCACAGCTTATAGCGAGAGTCGACGAGGTCAACCAGAACATCAACTTATTACATATATATATATCTACTTATATATTTGCCTTATTCTGTCTGTTTGTGTGTTTGTCTGTTTGTCTGAAGCTCACGGATAGAATGCGCGCTCATTGGCTGCCAGGGAACACGTGTCCTCCCTGCCCCCCTCTAGACAACCCTGTTATTCAAAAACCATACATCCAATCGCCATGAAATTCTGGGATATTATTAGGTATATCCCCGGAAAGGTTTTCGAAAAATAATTTCTTGAATATCTTGAATATCCTTAGAGTTATTTGCAGAATTGTAGATATAACTCGCAAGCAGCGCCGCCAGACGGTGATAGGCCTAAGCTTGCTGCTCCACCCCTGTTGACCTTGGGTCATCGTGTGAGTCACAGCATGATGCAACAAAAACACTCTCTCTGGGGATTGCGGCGTCAACAACCTGTAAGTTTGCCTCTCTCATAAACCTGTCTATACTGACCACCCTGACTATAGCGACCACTCTAGACAACCCTGTTATCAGCTGCCTGTCTATAGAGACCACCCTGTCTATAGCGGTCACCTTAGGCAACCCTGTTATCAGCAGTGTGATACATCCACCTGTCTATACAGACCACCCTGTCTATAGCGACCACTCTAGACAACCCAGTTATCAGCTGTGTGATGCATCCACCTGTCTATACAGACCACCCTGTTAATAGCGACCACCCAAGTCAACGTTTTTAAAATATATTCGCACTCGGGTAAACCCCGGGCGTTGCCCGGGCCATTCGTCTAGTATATATATATATATTATATAATATAAAGGACTGCGGTGTATGATTATAAAGTAATACTTAAAGCCTCCCCCAATAAATTTCTTTTTTTTGTGAAAATCAATATTAATTTCAAAGAGAAATATGTACTATTTCTAACTTTTTGGATGACGTATGAAAAGGTTGAATATATGAAGAGTAATGGTCTATATATGATTGGATGACGTATGAAAGGGTGAAAATGTGAAGAGTAAGGGCGAACGGAAAAATAAAAGTGTCCAGGGGCGGGAATCGAACCCACAACCTTCTGCTTACCGGGCAGGTGCCATGTCCACTAGGCTACTCTGGACGTATTTTTTCCGTTCGTAACTAATACTTAAAGTAACTTTTTTAATATCTATATATATAAAAGTCAATTGCTGTCTGTCTGTCTGTTTCGCGATAAACTTAAAAACTACTGAACCAATTGGTTCCAAATTTTGCATGTCGCTTTTTATAAACCTGAGGAAAATTTTTGGCTACATTTTGCTTATTATTTTTGGCTATTTCTTTTTTTAATTTGAAGAACTATTTTTTTATGCGGATTAATCCGGAATGGAATGAATACCACCTAAATATGGCCATTTTTTTAAAGCATCGGTGGCTTAGTGGTAGAATGCTCGCCTGCCACGCGGGCGGCCCGGGTTCGATTCCCGGCCGATGCATTTTTTTTTTACAATTTTTAAAACTAATTTATAAAAAATATAATATAAATATATACTATTATATCAACTATATGAATTAAATCAAATACCTAAACACTAATCTCTATATATATATAAAAGTCAATTTCTGTCTGTCTGTCTGTTTCGCGATAAACTCAAAAACTACTGAACCAATTGGTACCAAATTTTGCATGTCGCTTTTTATAAACCTGAGGAAAATTTTTGGATACAATTTGCTTAGTATTTTTGGCTATTTCTTTTTTTTTTCATTTGAAGAACTTTTTTTTACGCGGAGTAATCCGAAATGGAATGAATACCCAAATAAGGCCATTTTGTATACGCATCGGTGGCTCAGTGGTAGAATGCTCGCCTGCCACGCGGGCGGCCCGGGTTCGAATCCCGGCCGATGCATTTTTTTTAACAATTTTTAAAACTCATTTATATTATATCTTCTATATATATATATAAATGAATGTTTGTATGTTTGTTTGTTGGTTTGTATGTCCGGTACAAATTCGCAGTAGTTCACTAATTCAAACCAAAATTTCCATACATAGGTAAAAAAATACGAGGAAAACGATAGGCTATTTTAAATTATATATAAATTAAATATTAAATCTATATATTCAAATTATTCTACTTAGCTCACGAACAGCGCCCTCTATCAAGGTTATAAATACGTTTAAAATCGAAATCACAAAATTTTATTAATAATAGTTCGCTTAATAATTAGAATACTTGATCTAAATCGAAATATTTATAGACGCTCGCTCGATTTGAAGATTTATATCGCAACTAATCTGACTGTAAAGTTTGGAGCGGGACGTTTTACAAGAGTGACATCCACGGCGCCAATTTATAATTGTAACGAATAGTGTTTGAATAAAACATTTAATCGGGTAAACCCGGGCGTTGCCCGGGTCATTCGTCTAGTACAATATAAAGGACTGCGGTGTATGATTATAAAGTAATACTTAAAGCCTCCCCGCATAAGTTTCTTTTTTTGTGAAAATCAATATTAATTTCAAAGAGAAATATATACTATTTCTAACTTTTTGGATGACGTATGAAAAGTTTGAATATATGAAGAGTAATGGTCTATATATGATTGGATGACGTATGAAAGGGTGAAAATGTGAAGAGTAATGGCGAACGGAAAAATAAAAGCCAGGGGCGGGAATCGAACCCACAACCTTCTGCTTACCGGGCAGGTGCCATGTCCACTAGGCTACCCTGGACGTATTTTTCCGTTCGTAACTAATACTTAAAGTAACTTTTTTAATACAATATAAAGGACTGCGGTGTATGATTATAAATTAATACTTAAAGCCTCCCCGCATAAGTTTCTTTTTTTTTTTACTTTAAGTATTAGTTACGAACGGAAAAATACGTCCAGGGTAGCCTAGTGGACATGGCACCTGCCCGGTAAGCAGAAGGTTGTGGGTTCGATTCCCGCCCCTGGACACTTTAATTTTTCCGTTCGCCATTACTCTTCACATTTTCACCCTTTCATACGTCATCCAATCATATATAGACCATTACTCTTCATATATTCAACCTTTTTATACGTCATCCGAAAAGTTAGAAATAGTACATATTTCTATTTGAAATTAATATTGATTTTCACAAAAAAAAAAAGAAACTTATTCGGGGAGGCTTTAAGTATTACTTTATAATCATACACCGCAGTCCATTATATTGTATTAAAAAAGTTACTTTAAGTATTAGTTACGAACGGAAAAATACGTCCAGGGTAGCCTAGTGGACATGGCACCTGCCCGGTAAGCAGAAGGTTGTGGGTTCGATTCCCGCCCCTGGACACTTATTTTTCCGTTCGCCATTACTCTTCACATTTTCACCCTTTCATACGTCATCCAATCATATATAGACCATTACTCTTCATATATTCAACCTTTTCATTCGTCATCCAAAAAGTTATAAATAGTACATATTTCTCTTTGAAATTAATATTGATTTTCACAAAAAAAGAAACTTATGCGGGGAGGCTTTAAGTATTACTTTATATATACAATTCGTTTTCTTTTTATGCGGTTTTTTTTATGCGGTTTTGGAGTTATGCGGTGCAAGAAAAAAAAATTTATTCGAATTTCGAAAATTATTTTTTTGGTGATTCACTTTTTCTGAAAACGAATAAGAATAACAACTACAACTCTACTATTACGCAATCAATACAAAGAAAGAATTTTGTAACGTCCTGGTTGTATGTTAAGTTATCCAACAAACAGTAGAGGGGAAGTTCCAATGTCTTTTATTCCGCGCCTGCCGGAGTCTTACACAACTCGTGCAAAACCGAAATCAAAACTGAAAACCCGCCGGCGTGCCAGCTGCCGTTACAAATTTCTTTTTTCTTTTATTGACATGTTTTCTCTTGATTTGTTCTTAAAAACAAAAGAGACAAAAACAAAAATACCTCGTTAAAATTGCGTGTTTTTATGCTGCATTTTGTTTTTGTATGAAACTAATTAAAAAACCTGCATATTGGAAAGCATTAGAAAATAAAACTTTGTGAAAGAAGGTTACTACCGAAAACCGGAAGATAAATTTACTCAAGTGAATTGTAAGTTTTTTTGAATAATTTTAGTGCGTAATTGTACATTAAGTTTTTTCTATAATTTTTAGTCCTCTTAAAGAAAATGTGTGACAATAATAAAAAACAAAAAAGAAGTGCAATTTCGCTAGAAACCAAAATTATAATTTTCGATTGCTTGGCGAAAGGAGAAAGATCAACAGCAATAGGTAAACGTTATAATTTAGGCTAATCTACTATAAGAGCAATAAAAAAAATGAAGCGGAAATAAGAAGATCAGTCAGATCTGGTACAAATTTGAGTTCTAAAATTTCATCATATTCAAGAGGCACTTTAATAGAAAAAACAGAAAAGGCTCTCGTAATTTGGATTGAAGATTTAACTCAAAAAAGAATTCCGTTAGATGGACATTTAATCAAGATGAAAGCCCTTAAATTTTACAAGGAGTTAAAAGAATCAGAGCCATCTACATCTTCACGTGAAATTAATCCACAATTCTCTGCCAGCACAGGGTGGTTAACTGGTTTTATAAAAAGACATTCTTTTCATAATCTAAAAATAAAAGGTGAGGTGGCTTCTGCAGATGAAGAAGCTGCTAGAAAATATCCTGAAAAGTTGGCTAAAATTATTAAAGATGGAGGATATTGTGCCCATCAAATCTTCAATGCTGATGAAACAGGATTGTTTTGGAAAAAAATGCCAACCCGTACTTACATTGCAAAGTCCGAAAAAAATGCCAGTGGTTTTAAAGCTGCTAAAGATCGAGTTACTTTATTGCTGTGCAGCAATGCATCTGGCGATCGAATGTTAAAACCGCTGCTTGTAAATCGATCTTTAAAACCACGTGCATTAAAAGGAAAAGACTTAAATACACTGCCCGTACATTGGATGGCAAACAAGAAGGCCTGGGTAACAACGGCTATTTTCATGGAATGGTTCAATAAATGCTTCGTACCCGAAGTAGAAAATTATATGAAAGAGATGGGTCTCGAATTTAAGATCTTATCAATTCTTGACAATGCACCAGGTTATCCAAACTTAGAATATCCAAATATAAAGGTAGTTTTTTTCCCTCCAAACACAACGAGCCTAATTCAACCATTAGATCAGGGAATTATTTCAACATTTAAAAAATATTATGTAAAATTCACTTTCCAATTCATTTTCGATAAACTGGAATCCGATACAATAACAGTTACTGAAGTTTGGAAACAATTTAATATCTTGAACTGTGTAGATCATGTTGCGTTAGCAATTGCCGAGATAAAATCACAAACTTTAAATGCATGTTGGAAAGCTGCTTGGCCTGAATGCGTATCAAAGAGAAATGAATCAAATAGAACAACAATAGTAACATCAGATATTATTTCAATTGCTAAGAAAATAGGTGGGGAAGGTTTTGATGATTTTGGCGAGCATGATATAGAAGAATTGCTTGTGGACGAAGCCCTAAATGATGATGATATTTTGGAAAGTATGGTAGATTTCGAAACAGTAGATAACGAACTGGAAGATGTTACTCCACTGGACGAAAAATTACTTCGGGAAGGCCTTCAACTTTCCGGTAAATTGGAAATTTTTTTTATTCAAAATGATAATGATGTAGAACGCGCCTTAAAATTCCAACGTGATCTGAAATTTTGTATGTCTGGCTACAGAGAACTCTACAAAGAACTAGTCAAGCCATCACAGCGTTTGATTACTGACTACCTTGTCAAAGAAAAAAAAAATCACTGAGGTTCCTAAAGAAGCATTACCATGTAGATCTGATGACGTAATTTTATCTTCAAGTGATGAAAGTGATCTTGCACCAATCCACAAACGGGTTCGCACATTATCAGACAGCGAATAATGATGAAAACATTCTTAATATGATTTTAAATAAAGTTTTGTTTATGTTTTTTTTTTACATATTAAGTTTTGTTTTTGTTATTAACACACATATGTGCCATTTATTAAAATATGATGATAAAAAAATTAAATCTTATTATTTATAAATCTTTTTTAATGCGATTTCTGGTGCATTTTAAAACATTATTTAGGTTTTATGCGATTTTTTTAATAAATGGAACGTATCCATCATTTTACATATAAATGTATGTCTTTTTTGTGCGATTTTTTTTATGCGGATTCCCCTGGAACGCATCTACCGCATAAAAAAAGAACCAAGTGTATATATATGTATTATCTGTAATTTTACCTGGTGCTACAATTTTAATAGCCGATCGTGTACTTAGCACGACCATTTTTCGCATATATCCTGTTGGGAATAGAACGAAATTTATAATCAAAAGTCATTATGGGCTTTAGATATATGCTTTAGTAATGAATTCTTACCTTCGAAGTCGAGTGGATTCTCCTTATAATAATTAATCCAGTCTTTTCCATAGTTTATGGAGCTTAGATACCATGGGGAGGAGTAGATCACCTGGTGGCCCTTTTTCGTAACTTTGGACATCTCCTCCTTGTAGTTATTGGGTCTCCACACGTGGACAATGGTCTCATTGGCCAGCTGGAAAGCCAGATCTCTGGTATTTCGCAACATCTTAAGCTTTGCAATATTTTTAATTTAGGGGATGGGGGGGGGGGATAATAACTCCCGCCATATGTGTTATTTAATGCCTAATGTATTTAATTTAAAGCTTATACTAAGATTTCGTGTTTATAACCTTAGAGCGTAATTTAACAAACATAAATAATGTCACCATATCGGTTATTGATGAAAATAGATCTACAAGGATATACTTTTGTATATCCACAATTTTATAAAGGTGAATTCAGTTTGTGAGATATATATATATATATATATATATATATATATATATATATATATATATATATATATATCATAAAGTTAGTAGAATTCTCAGTATATGTGTATGTACATAATTTTGTGTATATAAAATAACTAAGTCGATTACGGTAGGTGGGGTTCTTAAAACCTTTCAATGCACATATTTGACAAAACACACAAAACATTATTTTAACTATAAACACCTCCTCTAACAATCTAGATGTGAGCGGTTTTGCAGGATGACGATTGTTGTTGTTTTTCCGTCTTCTCTTGAACGCCATGGAGCGAAAGAGACGCCAATTTCGATCCATGATTACCTATTATTAAAAAAATAATAATAATAATTTCAAAGAGTTTATATTATTTTAATTATTTCATAGGAATTTATATATTCTCCCTGACATTTCCCCTTCAAAAGCAACAATTATCAATTGCTTTGAATAATTAAAAAGGGTTAGATAGGTCTCTGGTTGGCCATAAACAGTTGTGACAATGGAAAATGTAGATATGTGGTGGTAATACTAATATAAATGAATTCGCAAATTTTAGCATGGATATTTAGCCAGATGTAATAAAATAAGTTTATCTAATGTGAAATTAATTAATGATAAACATTTGAGATCCATAAAAATGCTTTCGCTAATTGCAATATTTTTAATATGGATGCATATGACGGCAAGAGTTGAAAAGTGAAAATTTGTGAATTAGAAATACAAATCATAAATTCATGATGAAATTGTGAAAAACTTTCAGAATTACAAAATATTTCCTCACAATGCGTTTCATTTTATTTTAAATTGCTAGCTTTCAAGCGATAATCGCTCTTAAACGAGCTTTAAAAATATCAAATATCTAACAAGAAATATTTACAAATACAAACGCGGAAGAGATATTGT